TGGCCTCGCCAGCCTCCGCAGGTGCTTCTCGTGGCATCCTATTTTGCTTCCGCTGGTGTTAGGTCAGGCTTGACAAGGGTTGGGCCTGCCCTTCTCACCTGCCCTCATGCCCGGTCCTCTCCTTCCCGCCAGTGCTGGTGTGCGCAGAAGGCCGGGGTTGGGGAGGAGATGTATAAAGGCTCCAAAGAAAAACAAAGTTGAAAAAACAATAAACATGAGCAGAAAATAAATTATCATTTGCAATTTCTTGCATTTGTGATTATCATCCGTGAAGCACAGTAAGAAACTTGGGGAGCAAGCGAAGCCAGTGTGCACGAGCAGGAAGACGGATGACGCTGCTTCGTGAGTGATGGTAGCATACATGTTATTAGGGAGCAGCAGAGGCAAGTACATCTATACCGTTTTATACAGATGGGTTAGGAAGAGCCTTGGCATTTTTTTCTTTTTTCTTTTGGTGAGAGAGTATTTTTGCTATAGAGTGTATGCGCTCACCAGAAAGAGACAAAGTGAGAAATCATTCCCCAGAGGGGATGGCCATGCCGCAATCCCTTTTCCTCCATTCTCCCAGGATCTTCGACACACACACACACACACACACACACATATATGCTCTGTGTGAGTTTCAAGCTGCCAGGTCTGGGACTGGAACTGTGGTCAACTATGTGGGAATCCAGTGACCTAACCATTATGCCATCTGCTGGTCTCAAGCCCTGGAATTTTTCTATTGGCGGGAATCATGCACTTAGCCAGGAAATCAATGGTTTAAGATTCAGCAAATTCTAGGGACCAGCAGTTAGCATAATGGCTATGTTGCTGGACTCCCACGTAGTCGACCGTAGGAGTCCGTGGTTCGAGTCCCGGACCCAGTGGCTTAAACTCACGCCAGGCGCGTATGCATGCGTGCCCAAGATCCCAAGAGGAGAATGGAGGAGAAGGGATTGCGGCGTGGCCACCCCCCCGTGGGGTGATTTCCTGCTTTCTGTCTCTCTGTCTCTCTCTGTCTGGCTGGCGAGCGCACACACCCTATAGCAAAAACCTCTCAAAAAAAAAAATAGATTCAGCAAATTCTCACATTCATAGAAACTAAATCTACCATATTTCTAGTGCTGATTGTGTGTGTGTTTCCTGTCAGAGGGCGTGTGCTCACAGAGAAAACACCTCCCCATTGGAGTATGGTCATGTACCTGGCATGTTTTTTAAGCTGCCAAGGTCATAATTTGAACCATAGTTGGCTATCTGGGATCCAGCTCCCTTAATTGTTAAGCTACAGCGCTGGTGCTAGGACCAGCTCAGCATGAACACGTTTCTCTGAGTGGGGAAGGCTGCAGATTAGAAATAGACGTAATAACAAAACACACGAAGACACACAGGTATAGAAAAGCAAGGATCAGGAGGGCACAGCTTCTCTGATGGAGAAATTGCGACCAGAACCAGCCTCGGGTTTATTCTTTTAAAGGGCAGAGAATGGGGGAAGGAGGGAATGGGGAAGAAGGAAGTGGAATGCAAAGAGAATAAGGAGGAGAAATTGGGATGCAAAGTCAGTTTCGGGATGTAAATCGAAGGTGTGAAAATGACTGGCTGGCGCCAAATAATTTCTCTGATCCTTTTGGGGGATAATCAGACGAAGGCTTGTGACTTCCTTTAGCCTGATACTGGGCAGTACGGAGGAATTTAGTTTCAGCCATTGACGGCAGGCAGGTACTGCTTTCGTATGTACATGCTTCTCAATAGCCTGCTAGGGTAGCTTACAGAAGCGCATATCTGCATGTGTCTTCAGGCCACATGTTTTAATCACATGTTTTCAGATTGGCTGCTCTCCACAGGCTGGTCCTTAAAGTTCTTTTTGGGTTTTTTTTTTAAGAATTATTTTAACTTTATTTGTTTATTTAGATTTGACCCAAGAGGGAGAGAGATAGAGAGAGAGAGAGGTGAGAAAGCAAGCCTCCAGGTCCGGGATTTGAACCATGGTCAGCCATGTGGGACTCTAGCACCCTTAACCACCACACCACCTGCCAACCCCTTAAAGTTCTTTCTTGACTGACTGAAAGTATTAATCCCTTTCCATTTCTATGTTCCATTCGTTCTTACTGCCCAAAGATTGTGGTTTACCTCATTATCAGATTATTTTTCTTATCATAATCCTCCAACATCTTTCCCAATCACTGTTTCCTGTATTTCTTTTTTTTTTAAGAGATTTTTGCTACAGGGCATGTGCACTCACTGAACAGAGACCAACAGACAGAATGTGAGAAATCACCCCCAGAGGAGAAGGCCACGCCACAACCTCTAGTTCTTATCTCCTTTCAGGATTTTGGGCATGCACAACATGCACCCTGTGTGAGTTTCAAGCCGCCAGGTCTGGGACTCGAACCACAGTCGACCAAGAAGGAGTCTGGCATCTTAACTACTATACTACCTGTTGGCCCTACTGCTTCCTATATTTCCAATTCTCTTATCATCAGCTCTGGCAGACCACTTATATACATCTCACTCTCTTTCTCTCCTAGAGACTTGGTTATCCTCCAAGAATTCCTGAATTTCAGACTTTTAAGGGTTTATATGGGATGGTGATGAGTGAAGGATAGTGGGGCACAGACTGACAAATATATTAAAATGTGTCAAATAAATGTATGACAGCTTATTTTCCATGGGAAAATTAAAAGGTCATTTACTAGGAGTCACGAATGTTTACTGAGGGCCTACCATGCTAGACATTGTAGAAGACTGAAGAGTTTAAGGCACAGACTTTGCTTTTAGGACATGGGCACATTAACTGTGGAGCTAAGACAGAGCACACACACATGCCCACACACACACAGAGTACACACACGTGTGCAAAAAAAAAAGTGCTCCTAAAGACCAAAAATGGAAGCTATCAGCGTAAACAACTAGCGAGATTTTAAAAGTCTCCAGCAAGGAGGTGGGGTGGACAGCCAGGGGGTGGTGGCATTCTTTCTATGAACAATCAATTAGAAAAAATAAAATATCAATATTTTCAATAAATTTATTTTCTTCAATCTTCAAATACAAGAAACCTTTCCATTAGAAACATGATGATTACTTATCCGTTCCATGGATCACTGATATAAACAGTCGCATCCTGAACGAAATCACAGCCAGGAGCAGCTAGAACAGGAAGCTCTGTGGCTTTCTAACACTGCCCTGAGCAGAAAGTTCATAAAACAGTTTAATCATGGAATTATTCAAAGTTGCTCTGTTAACACACCGAAGACTTTCAATCAAATATGTAACACTGCTGAAATGAAGAGATGTTTCCGGTATAAACTGGATGGAACTGATAAATCAGGGCTTCCTTCTCTTCAGCTTTGGATTCAAAATGATGGTTGTTTTTTCGAGCTGCAAGAGAAAGAAAGTGTTAACTTTTTAATTTCTTTAAAGATTTTTGACATAGGGTGTGCGCTTATGAAAGAGAGACAGAGACAGAGATAGAGCGAAAGTGAGAAATCACCCCCCACCCCCACCCCAAGGGATGGTCTTGCTGCGATTCCTTCCCCTCCATTCTCCTCCTGGGATTTTGAGTACACATGCACACGTGCTGGGCAAGATTTTCAAGCCAACAAGTCTGGGACTTGAACCGTGGTTGGCCATATGGGAGTCTAGCGCCATCACCACCATGCCACCTGCTGGCCCTAGAAAGTGTTAACATTTTTAAAAGATCAGATGAGAGTATTTTTTTTTTTTTTTTTTTTTTTTTTGGGGTATAGGGCACGTGCGTTCACCAGAAAGACAGAGAGAGATAGACAGAAAGCAAGAAATCACCTTCCAGGGGGGATGGCCATGCTGCAATCCCTTCTCCTCCATTCTCTTGGGATCTTGGGCATGCATGCACACGCACCGGCGTGAATTTAAGCCACCAGGTCTGGGGCTCGAATCATAGTCGACTACACGGGAGTTCAGCGACATAGCCATTACGCTAACTGCTGGCCCCCAGATGAGAGTATCTTGAAGACTGCTTTATAATGTTTTTTTTCCACCAATCAGCATTATTAAGTGGGAAAATACCAACAAAAAAGAGAAATGTCTTATAAACCTTTACCCAGTAAAGCAGCACCTGATTCACCGCATAGCTACCTAACTGAAACAGCAGCCACATTCAGCCTGCAGTTTCAGCCTGCTCCTCTCTCCCACATCACTCACTCACTCACTAAATGGCTACGTGTGTGCAGTCATTCACTCACTCACTAAATGGCTACGTGTGTGCAAGACTCAACACAGGGTCTGAGGACAGGAACACACAGGACAAGGTCTGAACACTTGACACGTTTCACCTTGCTACCACACAGAACACCATGATATATTTTCATAGTATGTCTTCACTGAGATGCTCCAAGAGTTAAAAGGATGGAGAAACTGGTGCAGCTGAGGCAAGAGGAGGAGTCAGGCATTTTCACAGATTAGGCAGAATTATGAAGAACGAGAAAGCGTGGGGAGGAGTCTGGCATGGCTAACGTTTAGAAGTGGGGGAGTATGGCAAACTGCTCCGCCAATTATCATTTTCATCGACTCCCACATACACAACCTAACATTGCATATGAGTAAAGAAGTTGTTTTTAACTTAAGAGTTTCTGTCATAAAACCATCCATTCAAATGCACATTACATTCTAAACTGGAGTGAACTCAGTAGGAGGTACATGACTTTGGAGTAAGGGCAGGAGAGCTAAGAAAAACACAGGGCAAGCTTGGAGATGGGATGCGATGGGATGGAAAAGACTCACTGACACTTCCAATGGCCATACCTCACCAAAGAGGTACACCAACCCCTGCAAGTTGCGTCTGTACCCCTGTCTATACCCGTATCACTCAATGCACAAAGAAGCAACTACAGCCAAATTCCCAGTTTTACCCAGACATAAACTAGCATGACAATGTCAGGCTGGAGGATATATATTCAATTTATATCACTACCTTGGAAAATGGCAAGTATTAGGTCAACGGGAAAGTCATGACACAGTTTTCTGTTTTTCTATGTAAAAATGCATCATGTCTTTTCCAATGATCCAGTAAGTCTTAGAGAATGTTATAATTAAAGCATTTCTCCTAAAAAGCAGAAGTAAAAGGGGAGAATCTAGATGAAAACTATAGAAGGAAAGAAGGGAGGAAGTGAAGAAGGAAGGTCTACATTCTTTATGCTGATGTTCAAGAATTCAGCCCACTCTAGTGTGTCAGAGACTGTTAACTGATACAATTGTCCTGGTTTTACTTGAATATCTAATTTTAGGGCTTTCATATTATTTAATTTTTAAATTACTTTTTAAAACTTCAACCTAGAGGAGCCAGCAGATCGTATAGCAGTTACATCACTGAACTCCCAAATAGCTAACCACAGCTCAAGTCCCAGACCCAATGGCTTGAAAAATCACACCAGGCACTCGTATGTGCATGCCCAAGATTCCAGGAGGAGAATGGAAAAGGGATATGGTGTGGCCATTCTTCCTGGAGGGTGATTTCTCACTTTTCTTCTGTCTCTGTCTCTCTCTCCAGTGAAAGCACGCATCCTAAGGCAAAAACCTCTTTAAAAAAAAAAACTTTCAACCTATAGAACACATAGACCATATAGAACATTTATAGAGCAAAAGAGTTAATAATGTATTATATACTTCAAAATAGCTAAAAGAGGATTTTAAATGTTCTCAGTACAAAGAAATGATAAATGTTTGAGGTGATAAATATAAGATTAATTAGCCTTGTTCATCATTTAGCCTTGTCTGATCATTTCACAATGTATATATGTATCAAAACATCACATTGTACCCCATTAATATATGGAATTATTATTTGTCAGTTAAAAATAAAATAGAGCTTTTAGGGTCAGCAGGTGCCATAGAAGTTAAGGCACTTAGATTCCACATGGCCAACTGTGAGGGTCAAGTGGCTTAGAAAACACACCAGGCATGTGGGAATGTGTACCTAAAATCCCAAGAGAATGAAGAAGGGATTGCAGTGTGGACATGCCCCCAGGGGGTAACTTCTCATGTTCTCTTGTCTCTCTCTGGTGTGTGTATGTGCTCTCTAACAAATAATAAATAATAAAATAGAACTTAAAAAAACATAGTAGTAGTTATTCAAGTTCAGATGAAAGCAATTTTCTTCAAAACCACGCTGTAATGATAAAATTATGTACCCACAAATTACCTTCAGCAACAAAGAATTCCGCTAAATAAAATGCAGTCTTCACAGCATTAGGTGCGTGAGAAATGCCTTCTAAGTCCTTCCACTCATAAGGTGCTTTTTCAGGATGCCACTGGACGCCATATACTGGATACTTGTATCCTGTATTTAAGTATTTATTAAGAATACAAACTACTAAGTATTATGAATGATTTAGTATGCATTTATCAATAAATTGTTTCATATCCTCTGTAAAGCATTATTTTATAACATACTACATCAAAGTAAAATCATACATATTCTCTCAGACATAAAACAAAGAATTTCAATTGACAATGTAATAATTTCCAATAATACATTTTGCTGATTTGGAAACGTTTAGAATTTGTAAAAAAAAAAAAAAAAATTTGCTTTTTCTAAATAATCATAATAAAGTAAAATAGCTGAGCCTTGAAATAAATCCAGATTTGACAGTCAAGCGCACACTCTACTAGTGACACAGTTTCTTCCATGATGAGCCTCTCTTTCGAAACCAACTTAAACAGGCCAGGCACAGTGGTGAGTTCCGTAGTCCCAGCTAGCTGGGAGACTGCAGTGGAAGTATCAAAATATGAAGAGGTGCTGTTATACTTCTCTCTCTCTCATTCTCTTTCCTTACCCCTCTCTTTTCAACTCTCTGTCTCAAAAAATTAAATAAATAAAATAAACATAGCTACAAGTTATAAAAGTTAATAAGGAATATACATCATACAAAAATGTAAATTAAGGCAAGGAAGTTACTAACTGTTGGGGGTAAGGGTAAAAGTCGGGGGTAAGGGTAAAAGTCTAAAGTACTGATAAAAAAAAAAGTCTGGGACCAGCAGTTAGCATAATAGCTATGTCGCTGGACTCCCAGGTAGTCGACCACGATTCAAGTACTAGACTGGACCTGGTGGTTTAAACTCACACTGGGCATGTGTGCGTGTGTGCCCAAGATCCTGAGAGGAGAATGGAAGAGAAGGGATTGTGGCGTGGCCATCCCCCCCAGGGGGTGATTTCTCACTTTCTGTCTCTCTGTCTCTCTCTCTCTGGCAAGCGCATGTGCCCTATAGCAAAAATCTCTCCAAGAAAAAAAAAAAGTCTCATTGTTGGCAGCTTATAATAGTTTTTTATAACTCTAAGTTTTTAATATAGACCCCAGAATAATAAAAAAAAATTATAAGAGATACACAAATGAGAGACAGAAAGAAATAAAAGTTTACCGCTAAAGAAAACCATAAAACCCCAATGGCAAACAAGAAGGGAGGGAGAAAGGAACAAAATATATACAAAACAAACAGAAAACAATTACAATGGCTTAAGTACTTATCAATAAACCTATATGCAAATAGATTAAATTCTCAAATTAAAATAGAGTAGGGGCCAGCAGATGGTGTAGAGGTAAGGCATTGGATCCCACATGGCCAGCTTCATGGTTCGAGTCCTAGACCTGGCAGCTTAAGCACACCAGGCACATGTCCATGTATGCCCAAAATCCCAAGAGGAGACTGAAGGAGAAGGGATTTGTGGCATAGCCATTGCCCCTGGGGGGTGATTCCTCACTTTCCCTCTCTACTCTCTCTCTGGCAAGCATACATGCCCTATAGCAAAAGCTAAATATATTAGGTTGTCAGGAAAGTCATGACTGGTTTTTCTATGCATCATGACTTTCCCTATAACCATATATAGACAGATGGATAGAAAGAGACAGAGAGAGAATGAATAGATACAAAACAATACCCAACTATAAGCTGCCTATAAGAGACTCACTTCGCTACAAGGACACATATAACACGTAAATGAAAATGACACTGCTGCAAGTAGAAACCAAAAGGGAGCAGAATAGCTATACATCAGACAAAATAGACCTTAAATTAATAAACTGTAAAATGAGACAAAGAAGGTCGTTTTCCCAGATTCTTAGTTTATGGCTTTACTATAAGCTAGACACATATCCCTTCTCATTCCTATGTATTACAAACATCTCCTACTCCCCTCTTCTTACACTTTTTAAGAGAGATTTTTGCTATAGGGCATGCTCACTGGAGAGACAGAGAGACAGAAAGTGAGAAATCACCTCCCGGGGTGTTGGCCACGCCATAATCCCTTCTCCTCCACTCTCCTCTTAGGATCTCATCCCGCATGTGCGTGTCACACACACACACACACACAGCCTGAGTTTTAAGCCACCAGGTCGAGGACTCGAACTGTGGTCAACTACATGAGAGTCCAGTGACAACCATTTCAGCATCTGCTGGCCTCTCTGAACATAACTTCTTAATTTGGTTGAATTCATCAATTATTCACATTATGGTTTATGTTTCTTCTCTGTCTTCCAAACTCCTTCCTTTATACAAGATTATGAAGATACTCTCCTTTATTTATTCTGAAACCTTGTTCTAGTTTTTCCTTCCACCCTAAGTCTTTTATCCATCTGTGATTTATTTTTTCTAGATATAGAAAAAGAGTCTGGGGACCAGCAGGTGGCATGGTGGTTAAGGTGCCGGACACTCCCACATGGCTGACCATGGTTCAAGTCCTGGACCTGGTGGCTTGCTTTCTCACTGTCCCTCTCTCTCTCGCTCTCTCTCTGATCAAATTAAAATAAATGAATGAATAAATAAAATAAAATTAAATAATTCTTTAAAAAAAAGAAAAGAAAAAAGAAAAAGAGTCTGTTTGTGTCCCACTTTCTTCCTTTCCTTCCTAAAGTCTGGTTAGGTATATTAGACATTCTCACTGTGCTTGCCAAATTCATTTTTCTTTTAATACATGTTTTATACTTGTCTTATATTTTAGATTATGAATGTTTCCCTCAGATCTATCTTCTATTCTAGCTCATAAATCTCTCTTAAATTGTTTCTAACATTCTGATTAACCTGTCCATTGAGAATTTTGGTTCAATTATATCTGCATTTCTAACAGTTGAGTTTGGTTCTTTTCCAATCTGATTGTTTATTAAGTAAGTTCTCATTCATGTTACTCTGCTTCCTTGTGCATCAGTGATTTTGTGACTGTAAATTGCTCAATTGCCTTCAAACTCCATGTGTAGAAATGCTGTGAAGTCTAGGATGAATGTCTGTTCCTGAGAGAATTATTTACATTTGTTTCTGCCATGCATGTGTGAGCACTAGCAGTCTACGATAACATTTGAGAGGTTAAGGTGCCGGACACTCCCACATGGCTGACCATGGTTCAAGTCCTGGACCTGGTGGCTTGCTTTCTCACTGTCCCTCTCTCTCTCGCTCTCTCTCTGATCAAATTAAAATAAATGAATGAATAAATAAAATAAAATTAAATAATTCTTTAAAAAAAAGAAAAGAAAAAAGAAAAAGAGTCTGTTTGTGTCCCACTTTCTTCCTTTCCTTCCTAAAGTCTGGTTAGGTATATTAGACATTCTCACTGTGCTTGCCAAATTCATTTTTCTTTTAATACATGTTTTATACTTGTCTTATATTTTAGATTATGAATGTTTCCCTCAGATCTATCTTCTATTCTAGCTCATAAATCTCTCTTAAATTGTTTCTAACATTCTGATTAACCTGTCCATTGAGAATTTTGGTTCAATTATATCTGCATTTCTAACAGTTGAGTTTGGTTCTTTTCCAATCTGATTGTTTATTAAGTAAGTTCTCATTCATGTTACTCTGCTTCCTTGTGCATCAGTGATTTTGTGACTGTAAATTGCTCAATTGCCTTCAAACTCCATGTGTAGAAATGCTGTGAAGTCTAGGATGAATGTCTGTTCCTGAGAGAATTATTTACATTTGTTTCTGCCATGCATGTGTGAGCACTAGCAGTCTACGATAACATTTGAGATAACTTGAAACAAAATTCTTGATTCATAATTTGTCCAACCTCTCAATTTGTTTCTTCTGTCTGTTTGTTCTGAGAGATTTTTGCTATAGGGCATGTGTGCTCACCAGAGAGAAAGAGAGAGACTGAGAGACAAAAAGCAAGAAATTGCCCCTGAGGGGGTATGGCTATGCCGCAATCCCTTTTCCTTCAATTCTCCTCTCAGGATTTTGGGCATGCACGCACAAGCGCCCAGCATGAATTTCAAGTTGCCAGGTCCAGGACTCAAACCAAGGTCAGTCTTGTGGGAGTCCAGCACCTCACCCACTGTGCCACCTGCTAGCCCCCAGAATTTGTATAACATAGGCTGCATTAAGAGATCAGCTTGTGATTACGAATGCTCAAGGAGTATTTGCCCCCTGTCTCACTTATGGTGCCAAGGTTCAAGATGGGCAATTCTCCTTCCAGCTACGCAGGCAGGATTTCCGATGTATTTTGAGCTCATCCTTACAATGCAGGTACACCCTTTCAGGTCCTGTTCCATGGAGTATTTTGCATTGAAGGGGTTCCTGAGATTTGTCACACATACCCCTGATTCAGTAATAATAGTGATTTAAATACTCCACTCAGCTCTTAAAATTGGGGGCTTGAGTATCCTAATTTTCTCACCATTTCGTCATTGTACTTAGGAAAATGTTTTTCTATATTGATCACATTTTTTGTTGCTATCTGAAGGAGAACATGTCAAGGTATTTAATCAATAATATTTGCTATTAATAGAAGTAATTTTCTCCTTTCCTTTTTCGCATCTTTACCCCTTATACTTTACCTCTTTATCAGCCCCCTCTAGAAAATACCCAAGTAAACTGCAATTAATTTAGAACGTGAATAGAATATGTCTCCTGTTTCCAAAAATGTCCTAACTTCTATCATCAGGTCCCAAAGTAATATGATTTTATTCATAAGAAAAATACATATGTAAAATCAAAATTAACAAATATAAAACCACCAAGTAAAATAACATACATGTGCTACAGTAATATATACCTTCCACTGTTGAAATAAACTCCGTCTTGCCGTCTGTATTGGTAGTTAATACATTTAAAAATGTCTTTAACTTTTCATTCTCCGTGAAATTCTAGAGAATAAAAATTTAAAAAAAAAAAAAGGTTACTTCTGCAGTTACTCTAAATGTATTTATTTTATTATATAAATTAATGTGATACTACCGTCACAGAGAGGCTCCACTTGTGGAAATTAGCAGTCAGAGGTTCGACTGCTAATGACACCAATACGTAAGCAGGCA